GACTTTATCTAAACAAGAGTAAGATTGTGGAGGGCAAGCTGACAGAGTGATACCCTACGCGGAGGTAGCGCCTCGTTTGGTCTTGCGTAGTTAGGAGTAATGCGGTAGGACTAACCGACCACTAGAACTGCAGTCGCAGTCCCTTAGGTGGGGGATATTATCGAAACGCGATGCGGCGTGAACGCATAAGTTTGTGAGAAGAGACGAAGTCTCGTGTAGAGGATATAACCATCGGCCCTCGATCGAAGTGTGTACAGGTGTCTGCCTTGAGTTCGATAGGTTCGTATTGAAGCCAGCTGCCCGCGAGCGGCCGATGAAGATATATAGTAAACGTTTCTTCTGACAATTATGCATTGTGTGGTCAATACAACGTTTAGCTGAGCGACAAAAAAGAAGCCTTTATTTCGTTTCAAAAAAAAAAAAAGTTTGATCGTTATGTGACAACGATCAAACAGAAGTGATGGCTGTGTGCCATCGCTCCTGCAAAAAAGAAAAAGAGAGAGTTGTGGTCTCCTTCATCTTCTTATTTTTTCCATAATTGTGTGGGTCAATTATAAGGAAACTCTTATTTTAGATGTGGCAGCGAAAAAAGAGGCCTAATTGCTGGCCAACCACTAAGAGAAAAGAGTCGTTGCGTGGACGATGCTCGCCGCAGAAGGGTTCCAGGCGGTATTTACCGCTTAGTTCTACCTGTTCAGAGGAGGAGTGGTGGTCTCCTCGGTCCTTAGCTCGAGCCGAGACGCCGACCGCCCAAACTCTCTAAAGCCTGTGTCTGCGTGTGGTCCAGACGGAGCAGGACGGAAGCCCGACGTTGTACGGGTCCTCCGATAGCTGTTGGGGCCGAGTAACCGCCCTAACACGGCAAAGTGGCACTTCTCGGAGGCGGCTGCCAATCGAGCGGTTCGATCGAACAGCCCAGTCCTGAGGGAGTACAGGAGACTAAATGGCGCTGCTTAGTCCTGTGCCCCCGCAGGCGGTGGTTCTCTACCCTCGGGGGTGACACAGCTAAGACCCCAGTAGTCATCACCGTCGACGTTCTTGGCCTCAGGGCGCGGCCGAGTCCGACGTTGCGGCCTCGGCTACCGACGAGAGGCCCGCTATCGTGTGGTCGAAGCGGGACAGACTCATATGGAGCGTCCGGCACACAGTCACACGGCGCGGTCTGATTCTGTAAGGGTACCGGGCTTTACCGGTTCCTCTGGAGGGTCCCGGGCAATGCATCCCCTTTGTGTAAACGGGGTTCGTTGCTCGTTTCTCCATTGAGGACGGCCAGAAGGGCCTCTACAACTACTCCACAGCCAGAGCACCTCTCTTGGCCGGGAAGTCGTTTTTTCCGGGGTAGGTCCCACGGAGGAGGGATCTGGACGCTGCCATACCTCTCGAGCCGGACGAGGCGTATGGCGGCTACCTTGGCGGACCACCGTCGAGTGGAGGAGGGCTCCTTACCGCTGATGTGGCTCGTCCTTGGGGTGCGACGGCCGTTTCCGCCTGGCCAAGGTCAGTTGGTTAGCTGACATGCCAGGGATGGTCTCGGCGTCGTAACAGACCGGGTCCCGAAACTTGTAAAGGAGCGAACGATTGGCGAATGGGTTCGCCTCGAGACGCTCCTAGACAGTCATTAGGACCTGGCCGTCATGACCTGCTCTATCGGCGCTAGTGCCTGTAGACAGGAGGCGCAAGTGCGACGCGGCAGGTCCGGGCCCTTTCCGTTACCCTTAAATACCACCCACGTCCTTTCTCGGATTCTACCGAGTTGGAGTGGTTGGAGGGTCTGGCCCCTTTCTCTCCTACACTACCTGTACGGGGTAGCAAGGGTGCTCCCCTAAAAAACCTAGGACGCAAGCGAAGATACGTCTTCCTGGCGCTCAGGTTCTTCTTCCTTTTTTTTTGGGGGCCCCTTTTTTTTCCGGGAGGTGGAGACAGAAGGAGCTTCCCAGGTCGGCGACGGGAAGGTGGTCGCCGTACAGGAAGCGGGTTCGATGGCCAGGTCGACGAGCCAAATGTGGCCTTTGTCCGTCTCCAGTGCCGGCGGGTGCTCAGGGTCGGGTCCCTCCTCTGCTCCCGCTCGAACCGGTCTCTCTTAGAGGCGCAAGCCGAGTGTCCGGCGGCGGGTTGGGCGCCTTA